GTTATTTTTGGATCAGTGATATTTTCTAGGTATTTTACATCAGAAACCATCTCAATTATGGAAATACCATTGTACTGCATTCCTTGTACACATGCTGCTTTCCTCTGACTCCCCTTGCCTCAAACAAGTGTCTGTCTCGAGTTACAGGAAAGATGTTGTCTTTCCCCCTAAGATAATGTTCTCATACATTTTGTCTCTGTTGTGGTCCAGTTATAATAATACTCTGTGCTGACAAATTACAGCTCTGTTCACAGTTACTGGGACTTGGAAGATTTAATTTACAGAGAGTATGATTGCCTTCAGAAAGCCCTGTGCATGTCTTGCAGTCTGATAAAGCAGGCAGTCTTCTTGTAACGTTGTGGACATTACCGACGGAGAGCTTTGTGTACCTGTAGCCGTACTCATGGTAAAGGGCATCTTGGTAGATTGTGAGAGCGCTGGATGGAGGAGGTGGTTGACGTTTTCTTTTCCTGCTGCTGATGTATCAGTGTTTTGTCTGTGATTTTGGTCTCTCTTTCTGCTGCAGAGCTTCCCGTGGGCCATTTAGTGCAGGTGTAAAGTGTGCAGGTACAGTCATCATTTGTAGGGGAGTTTGGCGTGAGGGGTTGGTTGTGTTGCTTGCCGTGTATCAGGTGGCAAGTAGCAGGCTGGGTTTTTGAGCCTGCTGTCTGGAAGGGGTAAAACCCAGGGCACTGTGTAGAGGATGGGGAAAAGGCACCGAAGTAGAATGTCGGAATTTGGCATATTCCTTGGGTTCTAAACATCTCGTGGCCTTTCTCTGTATTCATTTTGCTAGATTTTGGTTCTTGTCCTTGAACTGACTTTCAAGACAACACTTCTGGAGGCATGGGATTTCCTGCAGGCTCTACAAAATGAGTTTGTTTTTCTTTTGCCTTTTTCTTCTTCATTGTTTTACACACCAAGTGCTTTTGCAGGTGCAATATGGAGTGGCAGTTTTCCAGCAAGATGGTTTAATTACCTCCAAAGGCTTACAATCACAAGCTTTGGTGGGACAGACTATGAAAATGCAGTGTGAACGGTACATACAAATTTTAATGAATTGACTTCTAACTGTAATACAGGAAAAAAGATTAATTGCCTTATCGTAGATGCTACAAGTTATTTACATTATGATTTTATATGGGCGACTAATAAATTGTAGGAGAAGAGGCAAGTTTAAGAAGAAAACAACCCACAGCATAGGTATATTTCATCTGTACCTCTGAACTAAACGTGCGTTTGCATTCATGACAGCATTGTACTGATTTCAGCTTTTACCCAGCTAGACAAATGCAAGGAAAAGGTAAATGATAAATGCTTTCAGAGAAGATGTTTTGTAAACAAGATAAAATGATACTTTTTTTTCAGTTTTAGATTTAATATGTGTGCTAGAACTTAACACACCTTAAGATGGAAAAGAATTTTCTGTACAGCTTATCTGCTGAGTATTCAGCTTGTTTGCTTTTTTAAGTTTAGCTTGCTATATAGTACACTCCTCTCGCAGTTCCTGAAACTTTCACATACAAACCTGTACATAAATTTCTTCCACCATCTTTAGTAAATGCAAATCAAAAAAATGTAGTTTGCCCATCACTTTCTTTTATAGAATGTAGTCAATTGTAAGCACTGCTGAGAAACATTAAAATAGTGGCTCTTCCATTTTAAAGATAAGATAAAAATTCCCAACTTATTTTAAAGATTATAATAATTCCAAAATTGTACATGTTAATCTTCAAGAGATTCTAATAAACACCATATATAATGGGAATTATATAATTTCTTAGATACTGTGTATTTTGGGGTTGTTTTTTCCTATTTAAACATACAGTCTCTTACAGCCTAAAATAGACAGCATGGGTACAACTCTTTTGTTCTGGTGTTTAGATAAATGCAGTGTGGCATTACTGTGTCTTTGGAAAGCTGACCTGAAGTTTGACTGGTTTTGATATAACTGAGAAAAGAATGCAACTTTAACATAGTTTGAGGGGCATTTTAAACTACATGTGGATCAAAAGGAAAAGCACAACTGTATACATTTACATTAAGATCTTTCAATTCTAACAAATTATATTAGAAAAAAAAGTGCTTTTTTCGGGTATGGCTTTGGATGTCTGTCAAAAAGGTAAAGCTCAAAAAAAATCTGCTTGGCTCATGCGATTTCTGTAATTTTCTGTCAATATTCTATGTGTGTTGTCTAAAACACAAATTATTCCCTTAAACATGAATACAGCTTGGATCTGAATGCCTGTTAGTCTATCTCAAACATACTAAATTAATTTTTCTAGAGTAATAAAAATAATTATTTGAAGGTCGGGCGGGACTAGAAAAATGGAGGGTAAAAGGAAACATTGCTTAAGTTACAGGAAGTCAGTCTAACATTTTGTAGCTGCTGTTTGTCTTGGAGGAAGAAAGGTAAGATATTCATGAATCATGTTGTATCTGAAGGTACTCTTTCAGAATCTAGTACTTTATGAAAGCCTATCTAGTGGTTTATATGTTTGCTAAGAGTTTCTATGTTAACATTTTAGCAACCTTTAGCAGAGAAAATATAAACAATGCCCCAACCACAACACCAGCTACGAATCTCGGTTATTATAGATTTCTTATTTTAAAACAAGTATCCAAAACAGTGTAAAAGGATGAGTAATTTTAATGATGTGAAAATATTTCAAATGTATAGATCTTCTGATGCAAAAGAATGGTTTTGCACTCCCAAAGAGTGTGGATTATTTCCATTATTTTTAAAATTTCTACACCACAGGTTACACAAAGATTGTACAGTCATATTTTTTCCTTTGGAGATATACCTTAGAAGAGCTTGCAAATAATTTGACCTTTTATTGTATTTTGCTTTTGGTTTACTGTTCCTTTCTGCTTCCTAACAGCAGTCTCCAAGGTCTAGGGCTAAATTTTAGCACTTGTTTCTAAAGTACTTTATTCTCTTCCCACCTTGATGTAATTTAAGGAATTATGTTGCTGTCACTCATTTGACTGTTGTTGTTCCTCATGGGACGCTAATGGAAAAAAGATAAGGCTTGCAGAATTGGACTCAGTGAATACTGAGACTGTTTCTTAAGCACAACTGTCATCAAAACTATGCTGTGGAATTTATTTAGGAGGAAAGGTTTGGGGTGGTGGTGGGTTTTTTTGGGTTTGTTTTTATGAGAGCTCATGCAGTTAACAGAATCGGGAGGAAGGAAACGCTGCCTTTGGTACTTTAAGTTTTGTGAGGAGTTCCCTTTTCATGCAAATTCTTATTTACATGTTCATTATTGTTAAATTGTATCTGCCTTCAATCAAGAGATCATCTCTTACTCAGCAGAGTGTGCGTCAATCAAAGCCTTTGAGTCGTATCAGAGTACAAGTGCAGCATATTTATGTGTCTGGATGTTGAGGCAATTCATATATTCAAATAACAGATACACAGTACTTCAGCTGCCCTGCAGACTGGAATCCCAAATGCTGTAAAAGCTCTGAAATGCATCCATCACTTCTTGTATTTCCACATCAACAAGACCTTTGGTCTTCATCCTATTACATAAACTCGCCAATCTCTCCTCTAGCTGTACCGTCATAACAAGATGAAGAGATTTGAGTTCCCTGTTTTCTATTTCACCTTTCCCTGACGCATGCCCAGTTTAATCTTCCATTTTCTTAGTTGTTGCAAAATGGGCAAAACGACTGTGAAGATAAGTAAGCTTTCCTCTGGAAGAATATATATTGCAGCGTATAAATGAACTCAAAGTTCTCATACTAGCAGTCAGAATACAAAATAATTCAGCTTTAAAAGGACCTCAAATCATTCTTCCTGACTCCACAATTTCCTAATGATTAAACAAAGAAATGAGGGAAAAAGAATGAACTTCAGTTTGCCATAAATGTATTTGTTTGATTTTTCCAAATAGCCAGTGAACAAAATAATTTCTTGATTGCCCAGCTCTCCTCCTCTGGCCAGAGGCCTCTCTATTGTCTTGGTGTTTATTGCTACTTACTTCACATGTAAGAAACTGTATGGGAGAAATTTGAAACTCATTCTTGTCTGGGGGTTCTACAGAAGACAAGGGAGGAAGGAGTTTAGGATTGTGTGTGTATATGGATTTTTGTTAGTTAGTTGGTTTTATAGTGGGTTTAAATGATCCTGCCTGGTTAAGTTTGGTTTTGCCTTGTCAACTCACCATCTTCAAGGTGATTGCTGTTACCTCATCAGATGTTTTCCTCAACATCTGGTACAACACAACTAAAGAACAAGTACAAAAACTACCTTGCATCTGGACTTGGTGAAAATGTGGCAGATATTCGTTAGTGCAGTGTTTGCTCATGCTTGGGGTCGTACATTCTTCAAAGAGCAATTTGTTTAGGCTAGCACCATTGTATTACTTACGTAGGAGTTGCAAACGCGTAACATGCAGATTGTGGCTGTGGGAACAAAATGCTATTTATAAGCATAGCAAAGCTAAGCCTCTTACAAAATAAAAAGGAATGGGAAAATGCGTCTTCATATTGTCCATTAAATAGGAGTTGGTTGGTGAGAGGGACACACCTTGAAAGTGTTCAGGAGGAAGACCAAGAGTCCAGTGTTCTCACCTGCCCTTCTGCTTGCCTTTGCATCTTGAGAAAAGTTGTATTTCTCTGGATGTCATTTCTCTTGCATCAGAGTTTTGCAACTGAAATCAGTTCCTTCAAAAGTGTCTGACCCTAATTATGTCTGGCAGTTGGGAACACATTAAAAATATTTTGACAGTTGGCTTTTTATTTTGGTGACTTAATTGAAGTGATGTCTGTAAGTGTTCATTTTCTCATCAGTGCATTGTGGTACAATATACATATCATTTTGGTGTAATACTTGAATGTTTAGAAAGTACTTTGGGATCTTGTCAGTGGTTTTTGAGTAATAACATTAATATTGGATGTATGTTAAATTATTTCTCTTTAAAGATAAAATCAGCTAAATGGATGTAAAACACAGATCAAATTAATTAGGCGTACTCTTTCTTTTGTAGTGAACAAACACAAACCCTGGATTGAGACATCGTACCACGGAATCATAACTGAAAACAACGACACTGTGATTTTGGATCCTCCCCTTGTTGCTTTGGATAAAGATGCACCTGTTCCCTTTGCAGGTAGGAACATACATTTGCAGCAGCATTTGAGCTTATGGATTGCATTACTAAGCTATTAGCATTTTAAGGAATGGATTTGTGGTGCAGAGAGAATTTAATCTGAAGGATATGTTTAGAGGCTGTATCCGAGTACTTGGGGCTTGACCATTGGCCTACGGGTGACCTTGAAATCAGGTGTCTTTTACAATGAACATGTCTGCTCATGTGTCGTGAAGCAGAAGTGATTATAAACAGCATAATACAGCAGGCTTCCACTATGAACGTATTTTTCAATGAAAACACAAAAATTGTGCAATTAAATTTGAATTTGCTTTTATAGAAATGAATCATTACAATTGCTGGAAGTAATAATATGTAGTTAATTTTGTTTGGTAGTAACAGCCCCTTCTTTCTCTCTTCTTATTCTGCTCCCTAGACCAAACCTGGTTGTGGACAAACTGTGACAAATATTTAATATTACTTAAATGTTATGTTACTGTGTTGGTACTTCATAACTGTCAAGACTTGAACAGAATAGTGAATGTGTCGAAGATTTTTGCTCAGATTGCAGTATGATAGATGTATGTCATGTGAAAGTTTTTACCTGTATTAAGTCTGTTTTTCCTGACCCTTATTCTGTCATATTACGAGTTCCTTTCAGAAAATAGTACTTTTGCATGTCAAGCAAATCTCCTCTTAAATTCCCTGTTTCATTAAAAGTATTTTTTTGAAGAAAAGGGAGAATGTTAAGGCTTGATAGCTGTTCTGAAGATCCTAAAAAGATGCAGTTGATAAAAAGATTATGTTGCTTAAGAATGTTCATCTTTATAGGTATAGGAACTCGTGAAGATGAGTATCGTTGCCGTTGTGGAATACAGTCATGTTTAGTAAGCAGGAAGTCAAAGTGCTTGGCCCAAACAGCATTTTACAGCATCATGTAAGAATTGCTATTAGCCATTTTCCCCAGAAGCATATACTGGCATAAAGTCATACCCTGCAAAACCGGGATTCACAAATGTTTTTTATACATTGAACCCCATTTTAATATCAGGATGGGTTTGTCGCTCATGGTGCCTTATAGTTCTTGGCTGCACAGAACACTTTTCTTGCTGAACCATAAATACGCTGGGGGTGTTCAGTGGAGGGGACTTAGCTAAATTTAGTCAGAGGTAAAAGCCTCAAATAGCACAGATGGATGAATACAGCAACCTCAGCATGAAACACTTTTGTCTGCTGATTAAGTCCTTACGGCACCCAGTTACTTGCTATTGGAGGTGTAATCAATGTCCATTCAGAGATAAGCAGGCAGCCTCTAACTGGGCAGTACAAACTATAAGCAGAGCAGGGGTACTGCGTCCAAAGATGCTCAGGATAAGGTGTTCCGACTCAGTTACTAGTTTTTGAAGCAAAGGAAAAAGTACTTGTTTCCAAATTATTGTTTTTATGCGTTTGTCAAGAAGCGACTCTATATTATAATACACAAAAAGTGTGGAATGAGAGTTTGAACGATAAACAGTTATCTGTAATGTATTTGAGTACTCTTTTTTTCTTAGAATGGTAACTTTCACGTGCATGTGCAATTCATTCTTCCAAATATTTGTGGAAAACAGTGATGTAAAGTCAGATTAAATCTTTGCTAAACTAAACCAATCTGTGAAATCTTCAGGTACAGTTATTTAGGAATGAAGACGGGTTCCGAGTGAAAAGATGTTAGTTTTTTTTTTTTGGGGGGGGGGGTTTTTTTGGGGGGGGGGGATTTTTCTGTTACTATGAATGTTCCATCTCATATTTGCTACTTTTACTTGCATTCTCTTGGGATCCTTATAGGGACATTAATGGCGTCCGCTGTTTCTACTGACACTTTTACAAACTCTTTGTTGAGTGGGGATTTGATAGCCTGATAACTTTCTTTGTTTTTTACGTTGCGACAGTCAACATGGTTTTCATGAATTAATGATTTACTCTTCTTGTAGAAAATCATCCTTTGAAATACCGAAGTTGTGCAGACAGACTGGCTTTTGTGCTAAAGGTTACACTAGACAATAGTGTTAATTTAGTTTCTTCATTTATTGATTTTAATTACTTATATTTTAAGAAGTATTATGGGGTCTTGGAAGGAAAATACTTGGTGTGTATTCTGTGAAATTAGTAATTTGTTTCCAGGTAATATTGTACATTTGGCCTCATGGTCTGATATCCAGACTTAATATTATAATACTGATTGAACCCTTAATTCCCTTGAAGGGCCTCGATTCCCTGCCTATTTAGAAAAATCTCTATGTGCTTCTTTTTAAGCCTCTTGCCTTCTTAAATTGTTGGAGTAACTTCTTCTATGTGTTTTAAGTTTCTGCTTTATTATCATGTAATTTGATTTGGCTTTATAATATCATTAATGTTATTATAGGTCTTTATGGAAAATCCAATTTGTATGATGTATTTAGTAGGAGAAAACTGGAAATAGATACAGCTACAACATTAACAATATGCAGCAGCTGTACCTTTAATAGCATTGTAATGTGGAATTTCTTCTATGGCCATATTTTGTTTAAGTGTGTAGAACTTACTCTACAGTGTACTATATCAGTCTTCAATTGTGCCAGATAATCAGAGCTCGAACAGTTCCTTTCCCATCACCCTATTAATATTTTCGGTATTTTATCCAACTATTGTAGAAAAATATAGTCTTTTGGAAGATTTTTCCATGGTGTGGTGGGTTTGTGTTTGGTTTTTTTTGTTTGTTTTAAATAGGCCCAGATATATCAGGGCAGTTTGTGCCTTGCCATGTGAGTACCATTACATTTAATAAAAAAAAACAAATGTCAACAAATTGTTAATGTCATCAGAACTAGGGCTGGTGATAGCTAGATAATCCGGTAAAACAAAGCTTTCTACAAAAAAGAGAAAACACCAGTGTATAGAATTGTTTTGTTCAAAGTAGCAAAGATCTGTGCCAAACTCAAACAAATTGTATTCTAGGAATTACTGTTGTCCAGCAGCCCTGTCTGTGGCAGGGGAAACTGAGACACAGTTTTCTTAGACCTTCCTGCTAGTCTCCTAAAAACCTTCAGCTTCATATGTAAGATCCGAATTGTTGTGAAAGATAGAAATGCAATATAGAGTCACTGACAATTCTGGAAGACAATTGTTTCAGTGGAGCTGAATCCAGAATCAAATAAAAAAACCCAGTGAAGCAAAATGCAATAATGTAGCAATGATAAACTCTTTTTCTTAACCAGATCTAATGATATCAGGCAAATTTTATAGGAAACTCAGAAAAATAACAGTCCATGCTTCCCCATTTTATTCTTTGAAATTATACTGTTATTCATGAGAATGTTATGGTGTTGACCTCAAAAATATTTTACTTATTCTAAGAACTGGTTGTGAATTTTAATGCGGGCTTTTTCCTTCAGTGATCATTGAAGGTGAACAGTGAATTTTACTTGCAAAGCTAAGTATCAATCCAGGAACAATCAAATTTTTTCTAAATGCTGTTGCTAATGCTTCACTAAGGGAATTTCAAAGCTTGTTCTAAATGTTACTTGTCTATTTAGTAAGAAGTACTTCGGTGACTATTAGAAGGTTAGATGAAAGCATCAATAGATGTTTTTGATACATCAGCGATTCTTAATTGATAAAAATCTTTACCCTGTATCTCAACAACTCTGGTAACGATCATACACAGGCTATGTAAAGCTTTGCTAAAAACCACCTTTTTAGAGACATTTCTAAGAGACAGTAAATCATGAATCAGTAGAACTAAACTCGGTAATATTGTAGTAATTTGTCCCATGTGCTGACTGTCCATCATGTAATGACATAGCTGCATAGAATGACACCGAGCAATGCAATTATCAGTTATATTCACGTATATTTTATGCTGTGAACAGTGTGCCTGGATCTGCAGTTGAAATACGATGTAATTTATTTCAGTGAAGTATATCCGTTATTTTTTTACTTTCAACAAAATATTTTAAAAGCTGCAGAAAGTAATTTATTTTGTTGAGGTACTATTTTAACAAATTTTTTCTGCAGTGGAATGTTTTGGAGTGACTTAAGACTGTAACTTGCTTTAGGTGTGTAATTTTTGCTGTGTAGTTAAGCACGGATTCTACGTAGTCCAGTAGTTCTCTAAAATCAGTGAAGTTTCCTCAGCTATGAGTTTAAATTCTGAATGTTACAGGAAGGAGAGCATTGTAGGAAGCACACAGTATTTTCCCTTCTATGACGTTAAGTGACTTCAACCATTTTAACATGGGACTTTTGTGATCTGAGTCTGGACTTGGAATTTTCACAACTTGGAAGTTTATGGCAACAAAATTGGCACCACAGGATTCCAGTTTGCTTTAAAAATAAAACCAGTAGGCTAAATGAGTTGGAAAAATGTCATGTTAAAATGTATTCCTCAGCATGGAACTACTTGTGTCAATGTAAGGCAGCAGGGACACGTCGTTTGCTTGAAATGGTGTCTAAATGTTAAAAACAATGTAAAAGAACAGCCTAAATAGGTAATTATTTAATCTTCAAAAGAGTTCCTTTTGCTTATTGGTGAGCAGTTCTCTTATGGAAAGAATAGTTGAGAAAACCCACTTTCCTTTAAACCTGCTACTTTCCACTCACAGCTGGACTAGAGAATAAACACTCTCAATAGCCTGTAAGTGCTGTTGCTCCCTTTGCTTGCTAGGGCAGCCTGAAAAATGCGTGTGATACTACTTTTTTTTAAGCAAGAGAGGGAAGGAGAATATAAAGAATTCAAACTTGGCACAGGTGGTTTAGGGCATTGATTTTTCTACTCAATTCTCCTGCTTCTGCCTGTGTGAAATGGATCAAACCGATCTGTTCTCTTGGCCTAGGGTTTCCTCCGCTGCCCTTTTTTGTGTGTATTTAGACCAGAAAAAAAAAAAAATCTAGGTGGTTTCATCTCAATGACTATGCAGCTCTGAACACAGTCTCCTTGTGTGACACCAAGCACAAGGAAGATTTGCTGTTCTCAGCTGTCACTATTTCCTGTTCCATAATCT